CACTTCGGCAGCGAATGGTGTTGGGAAGCCGTCGATGATGATGTTTGGTGCTGGGGTGTTATGTGACTTGGTGAGGGTGGATATACAGCAACAATGTCCAAAAAATGATGTATCAATACAAACATCATTGAATATTTAACAAATACTGAGGTCATAAATACATACAGTGGGGCAAAACATTATTTGGTCAGCCACCAATTGTGCAAGTTCTCCCACTTAAAAAGATGAGAGAGGCCTGTAATTTTCATCCTAGGTACACTTCAACTATGAGAGACAGAATGGGGGGAAATAATCCAGGAAATCACATTGTAGGATTTTTAATGAATTAATTGGTAAATTCCTCGGTAAAATAAGTATTTGGTCACCTACAAACAAACAAGATTTCTGGCTCTCACAGACCTGTAACTTCTTCTGTCCTCCACTTGTTAACTGTATTAATGGCACCTGTTTGAACTCGTTATCAGTATAAAAGACACCTGTCCACAACCTCAAACAGTCACACTCCAAACTCCACTATGGCCAAGACCAAAGAGCTGTCAAAGGACAAAATTGACAAAATTGGAGACCTGCACCAGGCTGGGAAGACTGAATCTGCAATAGGTAAGCAGCTTGGTGTGAAGAAATCAACTGTGGGAGCAATTATTAGAAAATGAAAGACATATAAGACCACTGATAATCTCCCTCGATCTGGGGCTCCAGGCAAGATCTCACCCCGTGGGGTCAAAATGATCACAAGAACGGTGAGCAAAAATCCCAGAACCACACGGAGGGACCTAGTCAATGACCTGCAGAGAGCAGGGACCAAAGTAACAAAGGCGACCATCAGTAACACACTACGCCGCCAGGGACTCAAATCCTGCAGTGCCAGATGTGTCCCCCTGCTTAAGCCAGTACATGTCCAGGCCCGTCTGAAGTTTGCTAGAGAGCATTTAGATGATCCAGAAGAGGATTGGGAGAATGTCATATGGTCAGATGAAACCAAAATAGAACTTTTTGGCAAAAACTCAACTAGACGTGTTTGGAGGAGAAAGAATGCTGAGTTGCATCCAAAGAACACCATACCTACTGTGAAACATGGGGGTGGAAACATCATGCTTTGGGGCTGTTTTTCTACAAAGGGACCAGGACGACTGATCCGTGTAAAGGAAATAATGAATGGGGCCATGTATCGTGAGATTTTGAGTGACAACCTCCTTCCATCAGCAAGGGCTTTGAAGATGAAACGTGGCTGGGTCTTTCAGCATGACAATGATCCCAAACACACCACCCGGGCAACAAAGGAGTGGCTTCGTAAGAAGCATTTCAAGGTCCTGGAGTGGCCTAGCCAGTCTCCAGATCTCAACCCCATAGAAAATTTTTGGAGGGAGTTGAAAGTCTGTGTTGCCCAGCGACAGCCTCAAAACATCACTGCTCTAGAGGAGATCTGCATGGAGGAATGGGCCAAAATACCAGCAACAGTGTGTGAAAACCTTGTGAAGACTTACAGAAAACGTTTGACCTCTGTCATTGCCAACAAAGGTTATATAACAAAGTATTGAGATGAACTTTTGTTATTGACCAAATACTTATTTTCCACCATCATTTGCAAATAAATTCTTTAAAAATCAGACAATGTGATTTTCTGGATTTTTTTTTTCTCATTCTGTCTCTCATAGTTGAGGTATACAGGCCTCTCATCTTTTTAAGTGGGAGAACTTGCACAATTTGTGGCTGACTAAATACTTTTTTGCCCCACTGTACTTCCCCTGCACTAACCCTCCCCAACATTGAATCTGCAATGCTATAATGTAATTCTGATGATTCATAAAAACATGAACGTCATGAGCCTCTTTGTCCTTAAATAGCTTCCGCCCTGACAGTCTTAAAGAAGAATCGTGACAACACAAGAAGAAACGTTTCTGTATACTGAAAGGGAAACAGTAAAACTCATCAAAGGTGTGACAATTGTTTTTCTGGAAAAGGGCATGTGTGTGTGTTTTTTTTTGTTGGTCCTCTAGTGACATAAACAAGTAATAATCCATTTGAAATGTACCTTTACATAACACTATATTATAATGAAATCTTCCTCAAATGTAACATGATTACTTTGGTTTGATTCTATATTTGTGTGCTGCTACCATAGGGCTGCTACCAATAACAATTAACTCAAAATGTATACTGATTATAAAACCTTATATAAATTCATGGCGTTTAACAAAAGTACCTGAAATACAGTAAAGAATGAAGTTAATTTCAAACAGAAATATCAAAACAATGTTGAAACAGTGGACAAAATGTTGCCGAAAGAATAAATGCACAACAAAGTGCAAGCATGGCTTTTGTGACATACTGTACTGCACTTACTGTGATTTGCTGATTTATGATTGAACAGGTAACTATAGATTTGAGTTTATATTAAAACTCCAGGGCCTCTCTGTTTGTCCATATTCTCCTGCAACTTCTTCTTCTGGATGCCTTGGTTCACGTCTTTCGAATTCCGTCCTCCTCCTCCTTGGTGACAGCTCTGTAGAATATGACTGTGGCACATCAAAGTAAGTTTAAAGTTTAAATATATTTCTTACTCAAATGCTGACATTTGTATCAATAACATTTAAAGCATTTTATACTTGTAGAAGTACTAAAATGCAAAGCCATGCTTGGGGATGTATTACGTTAGTGCTATCTGGTGGTGTTAAGAAGAATTACATTATGGCACTCAGCAATACATGACTGTCTCCTGATCAGCTTCACACACTCCAAGGCCCTAACCTTAAAATATTAAATAATGTTAACTTTGCTACACTTTGACAACAAACTAAATATCTTTAATGAATAAATAATTATTGTAAATAAATAATAAGGTAGGGTGTCTAAAATCAAAGATGAATCTTGATTGGGCCTAATTTGACCCCGAGTGACCAACACCAAATTATACACTTTTTTTTAGAGACCTTTAGACTTGGCAAAAATGGTCAAAATCTGTTTTGTAGTGTTTATATAGCTGTTGTGGAGGATATCATGAAGCCTTGTTCTGATAAAAAAAACTAGAGCGTAGTTATTATATAATTTTAACTTGAAACGGGTCACGGGAGACCCGAACACAACATAAGAGTTAAGCACACCTAAAAAAACACTAAATACTTTATATTTTATATTTATAGAAAGGGTTAAAGTCAAAATTGAATAGTTCAACGCATTCACCTGGACTTATTATTAAAAAAAGTCCAAAAAGTTATCTTCTATTCACTCTTGGTATACAATCTGACAGCTAACCAAATATTACTTAACAAGGACAAGTAATGTAATATTTGACTTCCCTCGAGCGATAAGAGACACAAAAAGAAAACATCTGCAGACTTTTCCATGTGCCACATTCCCACACACACACACACACACACACACACACACACACACACACACACACACACTTTCCCTGACCTTCACACACTAATGATGTCACTCTCATAGTACAGGACAAAGGAATAGGATAGGAAAACAAATTCTTAGGCAGCTTGTGAGGTGACTATCCAATTTTGTATAGAAGAATATAAGTCAAACAGTGACACTTTTACTACTTCAGACCAAGACCATATACCTTAAAAAGATGTCCACAGTCCCAGAAAAGTTTGAAAATGTCAATAAAATGGACTGAGCCAGTGCCAACAATGTGCTGAATCTCACTACTCCTCTTCTGACTAGCTGTTGAGGGCCTCTGGCACCTCAGCATTCAGAGAGCTGACCCTGGCCAACAGGTCAATACAGTATTCTTTCAGCCCTTTAAAGGGTTATTGGGTCACATGATGTTGCATTTGTGCAAATTAAGTTTTTTACAGTTAAATATGCAACCCTGATTGTTGGGGAAATATTTTCCAAGGCCCATAACTTTGACCCAGTTTATCAGATCATACTGTCCTGACTGAGCACAGGCACCTGTAACCTTGGCTGCTGTGCTCTCAGTCTTTTGTCTCCCTGTTCCTGCCTGTTGGCGTCAGCTGATAGAGGTGTTATGATTCTATCTTGTTATGCACAATGTTGATTATTCTCTCTGAACTAGCTAAATACATGGGTCTGGGGTAGAGTTCTTCAGAATTGACATGGCAACTCTACCGTGAAGTCAGAACCTCTGACTCTTTGACTTGTTTTGTGAATTCTCCGGCCGAAGCTCCAAATAAACCCATCAGTGTTTGCCATCAAAGCTTCAGCTCTCTCCGTGTCTCCTTTGAGTCGGTGACTCCTCCTGCATTGCCACACAGAAGGTTCCCCCACACTGATATGATGAGAAGTTATTCAGGTCATATGGAGATATTGGGTCCTTCAACAGCAGAGCAAATCTGTTCTGTAGTGATGGTTATATGCTTTTGTGAATATTTGGACACGTGTTTAGATTCTTTATGACCCAATCTACTGTATCTGTATCTGAACTTCAAGACTCACTATTAACACCGCCACAGAATACAATACCAATCTTACATCCTGTATTCTCAGAACTGGGTTTTTCTGTTAATTTTCAACCATTCTACAAGTTCTCTCTATGGAAGTTCTTACCTTTGTATTTACACACATCAATATTGGGTCTATTTTTGGATGTTCCATAGCTGATAAGAAACGCTGTGGGAAAGCATTCAGCTGTAGTTGATGCACCTAGAAAAGCCCCTAATGTTTTTTTACCTAAACTAATGATTATTATTACTAACCAGATAAAAAAACTCTATTTATTGTATTGTAAAATAACTATGAAATGGAAGACAAAGATCCTCATTGTAAACTTTTGATCCACTTTTTTATTTTTTATGAATTGATGTGTTTCTAAACCACCACAAATGAAGGATGTGTTCATATGAATACCCCCCACACACAAACACACCCCTCTGCTCCACCCCTGCTCTGTAACGTAGAGCTCAGCTGCTCCACTACGGTATTTCTCACAATAAAATCACAGTTCCACGCGCTGTCATTTTGCCTCGGAGCCCCTCGGCTCCTCTCTCTCTCCCCTCTCTCCCCTCTCTCCCCTCTCTCTCCCCTCTCTCTCCTCAGGTAGCCCGGACCGGACTGAGCACCAACACCTTCTGGTATCAGGTGTGAACCGGAGAGGACCAGAGCAGCACACGAACACATAAGCAGGTTTGAGGCGGCAGCAGGGGGTGGTTTTATTCAGTCTAGGATGAGAAAAAAGGCTTAAGCCCTGCTATTGTGAGAGCCTGACGGGGTACACTGAGGTCGAGCCCAGCTCGGACCGGCATGGAATTGTTGTCACTTTGTTTTCATATTTATGCTGACATACTTTCATAAAGGGAACGTGTTTTCTTTTTTCTTTTTCCCAGGAAAGATTAAGAGCTCATGGGAAATGTTGTTTTACCATCTTTCAGTAATTGAACAGTTAAAGATTTAACTAAAATTGTTTTCCCATAATGCTGCCTAACTCTGATATATGTACATTTTGGGAATTGGTCTCTTTTTTTAACTTAACAAATACAGTAATCACGAGTGCTGGGGTCAAGGCTATGACATCAATCCAAGAGACTAAATGACATCTATATCTGATACAGATATACAGAAGTTCCATTTTTATAGTGACACTAGCACGCAAAAAAGTAAGAGCAAAGGTTTAAACAATATTTGTTCTGATCATCATCAACACCATAGTACTCTTTCAACATATATTTGGAAAAATACTTTAAAAAAAATATATTGAAGGATTTATACAGTCGATGTCAACAGACACAGTATGACCAAAGTAAAGACAAATTCGTTTTTTGTTTATTAATAAGATCAGATGTTTACTCTGGCTAATTAAATGTATATATTTTATTGGCAATCATTTTTGCTAATTTTCTATTCATATTATATTAAATTAGGGGTTACATGTATCAGTTACATGTGTTTTTCTTGTCTTTTATTTGCTGATCCTCAGAACTGATCCGTCGATGATGAGCGGCATCAGGGGAGGGCGAGTGAAAATGCAAAGGACGCTGATGCTGATGATTCTGGTGGGGTGAGCAAACTGAACAAAAATTCAGATTGATAAGCCATTGATCTAACATACAAAATACCATTATATTCATTCACATTAGTACGAATCCAATTTCATTTAATTTTGTTCATCCCACTGCATGTTTTATGCAGTAGACACAAAAACTCAGCTTTACAAAAGCAAAACAACACCTTTGAATGCCTCAGACTGATGCACAATCTTAAAAAATTATGAATACAATTTGAGTAATTACATTTCCATCTTAAAACATATACAAATGTTTATCAACACAAACTATTATAACCACACGTATTTAATTATATTCATTAATGGTGAGCTTGAAAGCACCCATATCATGAACACTAAGTCGCCAACCCTAGACATTCTCTGAGAACAAGAAAATGAAAACCTGTTTTGTATTTAGAGTCAACGGTTTGAGTCACGCTGCCATTCAGAGACCTGATTATGATGACACGCCCAACCCGGAGTTCCTCAACCCGTCCTGGATGGCCAGCATCCCGGATGACCAGCCGCTGTCTGAGGTCACCCTGCCCGGGACCCACAACACCATGGCCCTGTACGGAGGGGTGTACGCTGAGTGCCAGACCTGGAGCCTGGCCTCCCAGCTTCGAGCAGGCGTCCGCTACCTGGACGTCCGCCTCCGTCACATCAACGGGAAACTGAAACTCCATCACGGGGTGTCTTACCAGCGGGGGCACTTTGGCCACGTGCTGCAGGGTGTGGCTGACTTCCTGTGGGAGTATCCCAGCGAGACAGTGCTGATGCGTGTGAAGGAGGAGTGCAGTGAGACGTACGACATCTACGGCGCTGTGGTAGACTACATCCACCGCTACATTCACTGGGACCTGCTGTGGCACAGCCGGATTGTGCCGACCGTGGGAGAGGCCCGGGGGAGACTCATCGTCCTGCAGGACTTTCCTGGACCAGACCTGGGGGTGCGCTATGGCTCCATGGACATAGCTGATGACTGGAAGGTATGGAAACATATTGTTCAAACATTTCAATGTAAGTTTTGCGATAGAAATCAACAAATCAAAACTCTAGACCCCAGAAAGAGAGAAAATAGTTGCTATATCCAGTATTCCTTTGCTATTCGGGTTTAAAGTAAACCATCACATCCTCCTTTCAACATGTATAAACTGAGGGGAATCAGTAGAGAATCAGAATACCTTTATCCGTCCCACAGAGGGGAAATGTTACAGCAGAAAAGAGCCAAAGACAGCTTAATGTTAACTAAGAAGCATGCATATACAAAATAAATATATATTAAAGATAACAAATAAATAAATAATTTTAATAATAAAAAGAGAAGGCCACAACAAACACTTGTCAAAAGTAATTTATATTCATGCTTTTAAATTATTAAATTGTGCCGTTCCCTGTAGGTACCCACACTCCTGCATGTGGAGGACAAATGGCAGAGTGTGTATCACCACCTGGAGGCTGCTCCTGCAGGAAACCTGGCCCAGATCTATCTTACGTACAGCAGTGGAACTGGCGTGTTTGCGTACCCCCGCGCTGTGGCTCTGCGTGTCAACGCACAGCTGTTCGACTACCTGAGTGCCAAGACGGACCAGAAGCAGCGCCTTGGAATCATATGCATGGACTTCCCTGCTGCTCCTACTATTCAAATGATCATTGACTTCCAACTGAGAGAGGTCCAAAGACCGGTATTTTACGCAGCTCATCACAAACCAAGTTTCAATTATAGAATTTCTTCACGGAGAAATAAGATGCTCCAACATTTCCCATAACTACTAGCAGGAGGCAACATACAGTGGGGCAAAAAAGTATTTAGTCAGCCACCAATTGTGCAAGTTCTCCCACTTAAAAAGATGAGAGGCCTGTAATTTTCGTCCTAGGTATACCTCAACTATGAGAGACAGAATGGGGGGAAAGAATCCAGGAAATCACATTGTAGGATTTTTAAAGAATTTATTTGCAAATTATGGTGGAAAATAAGTATTTGGTCAATAACAAAAGTTCATCTCAATACTTTGTTATATACCCTTTGTTGGCAATGACAGAGGACAAACGTTTTCTGTAAGTCTTCACAAGGTTTTCACACACTGTTGCTGGTATTTTGGCCCATTCCTCCATGCAGATCTCCTCTAGAGCAGTGATGTTTTGGGGCTGTCGCTGGGCAACACGGACTTTCAACTCCCTCCAAAGATTTTCTATGGGGTTGAGATCTGGAGACTGGCTAGGCCACTCCAGGAACTTGAAATGCTTCTTACGAAGCCTCTCCTTCGTTGCCCGGGCGGTGTGTTTGGGATCATTGTCATGCTGAAAGACCCAGCCACGTTTCATCTTCAATGCCCTTGCTGATGGAAGGAGGTTGTCACTCAAAATCTCACGATACATGGCCCCATTCATTCTTTCCTTTACATGGATCAGTCGTCTTGGTCCCTTTGCAGAAAAACAGCCCCAAAGCATGATGTTCAGACCCGCCGTCATGGGCATCCAGGATTTGGGCCCGCTGTTTTAATAATGGCTGAATACCACATTTTTATTGTTTTATTATTATGTTTATTGTTATTATTTGTAGGGCTTTGTCCTAATATTTATTTTTGTATTAGTTTAATATCATTTTTTTATTTTGCTAGGAAATTCTGAATGAAAGGCTGCGCGCAAGACTGGTTTTTCGCTGGGTTGAGTCGTGTGGGTTTTTGAGTGAGATGCGGCACAGCAGCCTGTCAGTTAGTTTACTCTTGCTAGTGGTTCACGAAAATAATATGGCAACTCAGCGCCAGATGCAGGCACATTAGAAGAAACCAGTTAGGCCTACGTTACCAACGAGCAAGCAAGTCAGCTGGCAATCAATTATATTTTGAAGAGAAATTGACTCTCAAGCCGGCTCTCTCACAAACTCCTGCTCTGTGCGCAAGCAGACCGCTGCACAGGCTCTCTGCCTCGCTCAATCTCTCTCTCTCTCTCTCTCCCTTTCTCTCCATCGCTCAACCTCACTCCACCTCTCCACCCTGTGTGCGCTCAAGTTTGCCTGCGTGCTTGCCCAAGTTGGCACAGTGTTACAAATGTGCCACAAAACCAACCAATGGATACATAAGACCGTCAACTTATGGCAACCTAAAACCCCTCTCTTTCAACAATTCACGAGCGCCCCCCCCCCCGTTGACAAATCGCGAGCATCTAACAGCCCCCCCCGGCCCCCCCCCCCCCCCCCGTTGACAAATCAGATTTCCCGGGAAAGTGTCGTGGTGGGCCCGCCCTGGTAAATCAAATGCCCGCCCAGAGATGTATGTCTGCCGCCGGGTCTGATGATGTTTCCACCCCCATGTTTCACAGTATGGTGTTCTTTGGATGCAACTCAGCATTCTTTCTCCTCCAAACACGTCTAGTTGAGTTTTTACCAAAAAGTTCTATTTTGGTTTCATCTGACCATATGACATTCTCCCAATCCTCTTCTGGATCATCTAAATGCTCTCTAGCAAACTTCAGACAGGCCTGGACATGTACTGGCTTAAGCAGGGGGACACGTCTGGCACTGCAGGATTTGAGTCCCTGGCGGCGTAGTGTGTTACTGGTGGTAGCCTTTGTTACTTTGGTCCCAGTTCTCTGCAGGTCATTGACTAGGTCCCCCCGTGTGGTTCTGGGATTTTTGCTCACCGTTCTTGTGATCATTTTGACCCCACAGGGTGAGATCTTGCGTGGAGCCCCAGATCGAGGGAGATTATCAGTGGTCTTGTATGTCTTCCATTTTCTAATAATTGCTCCCACAGTTGATTTCTTCACACCAAGCTACTTACCTATTGCAGATTCAGTCTTCCCAGCCTGGTGCAGGTCTACAATTTTGTTTCTGGTGTCCTTTGACAGCTCTTTGGTCTTGGCCATAGTGGAGTTTGGAGTGTGACTGTTTGAGGTTGTGGACAGGTGTCTTTTATACTGATAACGAGTTCAAACAGGTGCCATTAATACAGTTAACAAGTGGAGGACAGAGGAGGCTCTTAAAGAAGAAGTTACAGGTCTGTGAGAGCCAGAAATCTTGTTTGTTTGTAGGTGACCAAATACTTATTTTACCGAGGAATTTACCAATTAATTCATTAAAAATCCTACAATGTGATTACCTGGATTCTTTCCCCCCCCCCATTCTGTCTCTCATAGTTGAAGTGTACCTAGGATGAAAATTACAGGCCTCTCTCATCTTTTTAAGTGAGAGAACTTGCACAATTGGTGGCTGACTAAATACTTTTTTGCCCCACTGTATATGATATGTCTATAGTCTGGTGTTACCTCACTACTGACTGTAACCATCATAATCTAAATTGTACCTCCAATTAAAGGTATCGTCATTCACCAAAGAAACTGAAAACTAAATAAATGTCATAGTTTAAATAAATCAGAAATGGCATGAAATGAACATGCAAAGTTTTGTGCAAAAATAAACTACAGTGAAAACTGATCATGTGGATATAATTGCTGTTTTTACACATTTTGTCGATTAAAATCAGCAGTCGGTCATTTGGTATCAACATTGCCGACATATTCCATATAAAAGACAATATTTTCCACTCCATTTTTTATCTTGGCTTTATAGTTTTTGCATGGTTTGCTTATGCCTAAAAAAAAACTCATTTCAATCACATTTAATCATTTTTACAACCGTTTTAAAGGCCCACATTTTACACATTAAAATCAGATTTAGAAACTGTTCCACTGCCCAACTGCTTTAAAAATAAATGACAACATTTGTGATAAAAGTGCAACGTGTATTAACAACCACACTGATGAGAGCTAATAACACAGCTTTTCCTGTCTGTGTATCTGCAAGTGCACCAATGTTCTTTTCTGCTTCATGAAATAAACCCTTGAGTTGTGGTATAAAATGTTGCACGCAGATCATCTGTGTCAGATGTTATCATAATTTCCTCCTATTTAAACACAGAGAGTGTTGCGTAACAGTTGTTGAAATGCGTTGACTTGAAATAATATGTCTTAACATCCGGCTAAAACAGCAAAGGATGTTAATAGGGTAGATGCTTTGAAAGCAGTGTCCGACTCAGACTCTAGCTACACTCATTTAGTGAATAAGAAGAAAGAAAATAAGTCTTTCCAGTGTCTCCATTCAGAACTGAACAGGTACGATAAAAAACTTTTGCTGCAGCTTCTCTTCCTGATTATGTCTTTGTAAAAACTGGACAAGACTTTCTTTACTGCAGAGATGAATCCGTCTCCAGATGACCAAATCAGGCCTCGAGGGGCTGTAACGATTGCATCACTTGGTAAGATATCTTTCCTCTCACATTTATGTTTGCCTTATTATTTTTATTTTACTCTTCCTTACCCTCTCACTCTTCCTTTCTTGTAGTTGTGGTGAATATGATTTGGTGGATGCTTATGATCGCAGCCATTGGTTTGGGTAGGTTTGATCAATGTAATCTTTTTTGACAGCAAACCATATATTTTTTGGAGAGTATTTTTCATGATCCTGTGTTAATATTAACATGTTTCTGGACACCATCATAGGGCTTACACATCTACAACGATGTCCAGTAGAGCCGATCCTTCCCATCTACCTGATAGTGCTGGGAGCCACCACCCTCCTCTCTCTGTCTATGACCTACATCATGACCAACAGGGAGGGGGCCAGGGTCCCCACCATGTGCTCCGTCTGCATCACCCTCCTGTACCTCTTCAGTTTCGGCTGGTTCATTGCAGGTGGGAGAAAATGTCACTAAAATGTTATCTCTCCGGACATGAACATATGCAATGATGTAAAGTAACTGAGTAGCCTGCATTTACTTAGGTGCCGTTGAAATACAATTACATTGTTAAGTATTGTATTTCATCCTACTCTTCTATAATCATAGGGGCTTGTTCTCAGTTGTTGGTGGGTGTAGTTTTGTAGAAAGAAGATATGCCTCCATTGAACTGCTCACAACAAGGATTAGCTCTAGTAACTGAGTCATGATTTCTAGAAATAGGCATTGGTTGGTTTATAATACGGTATTTGTTTTATGGCGCACTTTGCAATTCTATTCTAACTCACATCAAAACAATCTAAATTGATAAATAGCACTTTATGTAAGTGGAAAAATAAGTATTTCTTATCCTGATTGGTGCAAGGAAGTACTAAACTTGGAAATAACTGTTTGTTTTGTTACCAATTGTTTTCAGGGCCTTTCAAGTTTGGTTTCTTTGTTTAGTTCTACGTCTTAATCAAATTCAAATGTTTTCCTGTAGGTTCTATCTGGATTTATCCTATCTATCCTCCCAACTACACACCCGGAACAGCTCCATACTGCCACAGGGTAACCTACCTGTTTGCCTTCGTGATCACCACCATTGTGTGGCTCGCTACGACTCTCATGTTCGTCTTTGGATGCTGCTTCGCTGTACTGACCTGCTGTCAGATTGTAATCTCAGTAGACAGATTTGTACCCAGCCGCTATTCTTTCTACGGTGCGACAAGTGATTTCCAAGAACCCATTGTTGGTGATGTGTAATTGAACGATTTATTCGCTCATGTCTTCAAATGTCTGGAGATTTTACACTAGGTTGAGTGAAACGCTTTCAACATTTTTTATTATGCTTCTGCTGCTAAAGTTTTTTTATCTTTTTTGTTTTTGTAGTTGAACAGTTTGATTGGTTAAGATAATGTTATTAATCCCAATTCAATTGTTACAGCAACTTTAATAGGCACAGAAAAAAAGAGACATAGCCTTATACATAAATACACATTACACTTTTTGCACTTGATACTGAAAGTATGGGCAGCTAGTAAAACAATATCCTTTACCTAGATTTGGCTTTCTGCAGGTGTCTTTCCTCAGTGGAATAACTTTTCTTTATTGCACCACTTAAAGTGGTATTGTAAAAAATATTTGTGTCGTAATCTATGAAAATAAAAGTGTAATATGTTGTGAATTTATTTATTTATTTAGCTATATTCCTGATGATTTGAATAAATGCTGCCGTTCTATTTAAGTATCTTATCATTGTGTGTCTTGTTCTTGCTAGGGTGTAAAGTGTTTTTCACTTTAAACTTGGGAAAATGGAACCCAACTGTAACAGTGATGTCACTGACACATTGTGGAGTACACTTCTACATCAATGCATCAAAGGAGAGAGGTTTAAATACTGAAAGCTGTAAATAGGATACTTTCAACTCGTGTTAAGTTGCTCTGTATAACAAGTAAAGGCTGTTTCATATAGCATAGCATTTATTTTTGATAGGTTCAATTAAGTGCCATGGTAGCTGAGTGTTTATAGCCCATACCATTTAACTGCAGCGTCAGGGCCACAAAAAAAGAAAAGATGTGTGTATATATACTGCTATGATGAACTGATATATAATTTTAGGCAAATTTGACCATACAATCCAAAAAAAAAAGTACTATGATAAGCAATTATCAAAGATAAGATACTTTTAAGCATGAATTGTCTTTTAGATGTAAACATTTTCAGTACAAAAAAAAGAGAATGTATTAAAAAGCCTGTAAAGCCTGTAAATCCAAAGGTTAGTTGTAATAAGATTGCCTCTTTGTCTTTAACGACTCAGTACATTAATTTTGATATTTTGTAAGGGCTTTTAAATCAGGCCTTTTTCAGGTCAACTATTTCTGCTGGCGGGGTCCTTTTACGTCACACGCACAGAACCAACTCAAATTAGCCTTTAGCAAATCAAGCTAACATGCATGCTGCGATTATCTGACCTGTGACTGGAGAATAACCTAAAAGTAAAGGTTTTTTAAACGCAGGCTTATTTGCCATTGTTCGTGCTTTATCTCAGGGGATTTGTAGAAGGCGGTGGCTTTCTTGGTTCAGTGAACATGTGGAGCTCAGGCCGCCGTGCCCTTCAGGATCTGATGCTCCACCAGCAGACTGCTGTCAGGAGCTTCTCCCTCAGCCCTGCTCAGGTCAGTGTCCCAGCACTTTATACACTAATATGTGGTTTGTTGAAAATAAAAATAACTAGGTCCGCACTCCATTGTTCTGCTGGAGAGCCATGACAAATCATTACAGTTAGGGCTGGGCAATATCTCAAATTGTATATCAATATTGTGTTAGGAGACTATATATCTAGAGGTTTTAATTTTGTATATCGTAATATCAGTGTTTATTTTTTCTTGCATTACTGTTAAGTAGTGTAATTGTCTGAGTTTAACAGACTTTTCTAGATGTTTTATATGCCTTTACCCACTTAAAACTAGTTAAATTAAATGTAATGCTTGACAACACTGTTCCTGTTTCAAAGTAATTTGGGATGAATAAAGTATTTACCAATCTCATCGCTCAACCCTTAAACCAAAAACATAAATCCAAATGTAGGAGGCTACAGGACATGACAGCAGACTTATCTATTTGTTCGTGGTGTTTCCACAGAATACAGTGATCGTGGAGAGATGGTGGCAGGTGCCCTTATCAAAAGAAGGCCGTCCGCCCAGGCTTCACCCTCGAAGACACAGAATCTACAAACTGGTTGAAGACACCAAACAGGCTCCGAAGCAGAAGATGGAGCTCATCCTAACGGCCACAGTTCCCAGTAAGTACTGCTCTCACTGACACTGGTGAAACAAATACCCTTAATACTCAAATGTCAAGTCCTGCATTACAATTGTGAAATTACAGTTACAACTATTGGTATCAAATTATTCTTGTACCAAAAGTAAAAGTACTGGCATGCGTAATGGCCTATATCATTTATGTTGCATTGTAGAAGGAGCCTGTGACTTAAAAACAATAAAGCCCCTTGAATCAGAATCATAGATTGATTGGATTATGATTATTGATGCAATATGTATCCATCACAGCTCCTAAAGGTGTTGCACATTTGAATGGCTTTGTATACTTTTGCTGGATATCTTAACCTAGAATGATATGCCAATATCTGTATTTAGTACAAAGTTCAATATTGACTTCCAAAATGTAGTGGAGTAGAACTTTAAAGTAGCATAACATTAATATACTCTTGTCAAGTACAAGCAGCTCAACTAAGTACATTACTTGTGTGAGTAAATGGACAATCCATTACTGCTCACAGATAACAAACCTGAGATGTCAAGAGTTGTCACAGGAAGTAAAACAATATATTTGCACCACTGAACTTCTTTTGCATTATTAAAATACCTGTGTTTGTTGTTGCAGAGCTCGGAGCGCGAGGGGACACCGTGTTTGTGAGAAAGTCAGCTGGCAGAAATAAGCTGCTGCCCCAAGGCCTTGCAGTGTATCCTTCACCGGAGAACAAACACATGTTTGAAGAGGAGATAAAAGTGAGGACTTTGTTTTAATACTGTGTATTTCCCACATATTACTGTCCATAGCAATGTTTAGTTATTAAATATTGTCACCTTTCTTTACTAACAGCTCCTGCGTGAGGGGAAGCCAGAGGAAAGAGTTCAAACCCGCTCTGGACAGTTGGTGAGTTTTCGACAAGCTTTTCCACGATTCACCATTGTTCTGTCTTGGCTGGAGACACAAATGACCACCACAGCTGTTTTTTTAACAAAGGCTTCCTCGTGTTTTTTTTCTTTACAGACGGTAGAGATCCTTAAAAAATCCCATTTAAACATTAGCAGAATGCCTTTGGAGGAATTCCAGGTCAATAAAGAAGTGGTCTGTAGGCAGTTCAAAAAGAAGGTACGGCCTTCTTTATCTCTTTCCTTTTTTTTTTACATTTCCTCTTTAATATTACATAAGTTCCTCTCTTGAACAATCTAACTGTTTATTCATTGAATTCATCTTTTTCTCAGCTGGGAGTTTTTGTGCCTCCTCATGCATTGAGTCTGCCATTTGAGTCGGTCAAGGAGGAGGGCGACTACTGGTGTGAAGTTACGGTGAGTCATGATTTTTACCATTAAGACAGACCACACTAAAGACACATTTTATCAGTTTGTAGAATTTCTTTTTTTATTTCCAAATTTTTTTACTAGTTGTTTTTTTACATATGTTGCAAGAAAAATAATCACATAAGAAATAGCTAACATTTCCTTCAGAGAAATTCAAATTACTTTTTTCAAGTCATTTTTTTCAATCAGAAGCATGTCTTCATGTAACTTTCAAGCTGGTTATTTTACCAAAGATCAGAATGCTTACCGTTATGTTTTCTTCCAGGTTAATGGAATAGACATAGTTCGTGTCCCTCTGTCTGTGGTGCCATATGAGGACCCATCAGCAATCTATCAGAAGCAGCTGAAAGCGCAGGCAGCTGCTGCTGCTGCTGCTGCTGCTGAGGACGAGGAGGCTGCTGTGAAGCTGGTGTCTGATCCTGCGGTGGAGCTAGTTTCTGATGCTGCCGTGGAGCTAGTTTCTGATGCTGCCGTGGAGCTAGTTTCTGATGCTGCCGTGGAGCTAGTTTCTGATGCTGCCGTGGAGCTAGTTTCTGATCCTGCCGTGGAGCTAGTTTCTGATCCTGCCGTGGAGCTAGTTTCTGATCCTGCCGTGAAGCTAGTTTCTGATCCTGCCGTGGAGCTAGTTTCTGATCCTGCGGTGAAGCTAGTTTCTGATCCTGCCGTGGAGCTAGTTTCTGATCCTGCCGTGAAGCTAGTTTCTGATCCTGCCGTGGAGCTAGTTTCTGATCCTGCGGTGAAGCTAGTTTCTGATCCTGCCGTGAAGCTAGTTTCTGATCCTGCCGTGAAGCTAGTGTCTGATCCTGCCGTGGAGCTAGTTTCTGATCCTGCCGTGGAGCTAGTTTCTGATCCTGCCGTGGAGCTAGTTTCTGATGCTACAGTGGAGCTAGTTTCTGATGCTACAGTGGAGGGAGCTGCTGCGGAGCTGGTGTCTGATGCTGCGGTGGAGGCTGAAACAGCTAAAGACTCTGTGGGTGAAGCTGCAGCAGGAGTCTCTGCTGCTGAGGAAGAAAAAGCAGCAAGTACACCGACAAGTCCAGACACAACAGCACCACCAAGTGATAGCCCGAAAAAAGATTAAAGGACATGAAGATGTGCATAGAACTTTGATGGATATTGTTTACCTGTAATTCACATGTATAAAATCAGTTGTCTGTATAATTATTAAATGAATTATTCAAATAATGGTGGAACTTTTATATATTTCTTTTGAGCTGTTAACCAAAGCTGGATAGACAATAAAACACTTTTGTAATCTAAATGTAATACCTGCTTCATTGTTTCGACATGACCAAAAACTACCCATTTGCATTTGGAACTATTGACCAAGACGAGGAAAATATTTATTCATTCATTTTGAGCACAGTACGCATAACAAATGGATGAGGTAAAAGTGAAACTGTCGAACATGTTGGTTCCTGAATTATTGACATAGGACATTTATAATGCATAACAGTTGTATGCTTTGTGAATCTTTAAATGAAACCTGCAGAGGTCAATGTTAGTTTTGTGACCTCGTTGAGATGGATATGTAATCAATCAATGAATTGAGTACATTTGTATTATTTCTTACAAAACACCCTAGTAATGTCCAAAAGATCTGGAAGATGTGATATATAAAGACTCAGCGGCTCAGCTCTGACAAGCTCTGCATGCGGTTTGAACCATAACAAGGCATGAAAGAAATCAATACTTGTAGATTGCTGATATGTTTTAGATTCAGTTTTGAGGCAGATCAGGTTGCGCAAGATGTTGACACAGTGATGATGGGGACTGCAATTAAATAAGAGCAAAATAGACAACATTTATCATTAATTTAATGAGTCATAAGCAACTGCAGCATAAGTATTCCAACAGCATCGTTATTTTCTATTACAAAGTTGTTGGTTCATATATACATATGTAATGTGTCACAGCTTTCTACTGACTCCAGTTCATTCCTCAATGAATGGCAACATTTTACTGACATCTGTGTGAATGCCAGAGAACCAAAGCGTTTTTAAAGAAGTATTCTGAATGCATCACTAAAAAAGGAGCATTTTGCTTTATGAACAGGAAGACAAAGTTTCAGAGGAGAATATTGAGGGCCACATACATGATCTCTGCCAAGGATTCGCTGCAGGAACCTGAAAAACATACATTTTTATTTGTAGGAAGAGAGCCTACATTTGCTGTATCTTACTGGGACAGGTTTAAGGGGCTATGGCTGGATTTTCTGTATAGAAGTAACACCTTAAACAAAATAACTACTGCATAACAATTCAACACAAATACATAAGAGAGGGCAGGAGCAAGGGCAACATCTGTATTAAAAGGTGTTTATAGATTCTTCCCAAGTACACATCTTCCTCCTGTGTGGGGAACTCTGAACATATCTACCCTACTTTCTGATGCAGGGCTTCCACCTGCCACCAAGAGTCCTCAGAGTGACATTTAGAAACCGTATTTGGCCTGTGTCTGTCGGCGTGTCAGCTTGTTATCTGCCCAGTTGTTCTTCAGCTCCAGCTCACGTTCCTTTGCCTGTGGAACACGAAAATGAAGGGAAATTCCTGGTTAGCTTTTGTAAGACTAAATGTCACACACACAGGGTCAGAAATACATTTTGTTTATTTTGTCATTGAACATTTCAAGCGGAGTCTTAATGTTTTTACCTCAATTCTGAACAAACACTTTTTAGTCAATAGTACCAGACAGTAGAAATAGATTTTATTTTAATTAACTATTTTTTGGTAGTTTAAACCAGTCTTTCTTAGAAAAATAAAAACACTGCTCTCTACATTAAATTAATTGTGTTATGATTTCTAAATGCTTGCAGACAGTATGGGATGTGAATGTAGTATGCAGGTCGCCTTATGGGATTTGTACTTTTGGAGACATTGGCATAAATCCCCCACACAAACAAATGAAAGCCTTGTATACACACCAGCTTAAGAATTTAAAAGAATTCCCACCCTGTGCACCAATTATAAATACCATCTGAGTGGTGTTAAAACAACACCAAACTTGATAGCATAGATAGACAATCACTCTGTACATCAAACAATAAGCTACAGGACTCAAGGCTAAGAGAAATGTGGCTACTATTTGTGTGCTTGTTTGAATGCCTGGTGTAGGATCGTCCTCTTGCAGCTTACTGTATAAACCTCAGATATACAGTAGTCAACGCAGCGCTGAGTCTTTGCTTGTACAATCAAGCATGGAAGCTAACACTTTGAATCTAAATGTGTACAGACATGTCACAGACTCACACCCTGCTCTATCACCTGCTTCAAAACCCACTGAAAGATAATGTACAAATTAGAGCTGCTCAATTAATCGTATTTTAATCGCAATTGCGATTATGGCTTGCAACGATTACGAAAACAACGTAATATAAATAAAACGATTTTTTTTTTTTTAAAATGGCTTTTTCAGTTGAATTATACTTAAAGGTGGGGTAGGTACATTTCAGAAACCGGCTCGAGTGCACTAAAATGTGAAAGTACACAGCCGAAAAGAATCCGCCCCTTCCTTCAGACTTCCTTACAGAGCACCTCCTCCAACACACATGAACGCGCACATGACGTCAGCAGACTGGTGAAAGTGGCCGCCTGTTGCTGGCGAGTCATTGAGGGCACGAGATACATTTGTGCGTGCACGAGATGGAAGGCTGACAGACAGGGCGCCAATCCTGTACTTTTTACAGTATTACGGCTTCCACAGATGACTTTTTTTAATGGATTTTTTGTCAAAGCACTTAAGATATTCATTGCTATCGGGATGTTAAGAGCATTCCATGGAAGTGTATCTCGAGCCGGTTTCTCAAACTTACCTACCCCACCTTTGAGGTTCAGGGTAATCAACTGTTAAAAACATACTGTTCACATTTTTTTCTCCAATAAATGGATGTTTTCAAAGTCAATGAATAATTGCATTTAATAATCGCAATTACAATTATTGACCCAAATAATCGAGATTATGATTTTTGCCATAATCGAGCAGCCCTAGTACAAATACTACTCGAACCTCCTCCCTTGGCTACAATATATTAAACTGGACAGACTACACAGTTGCCACCACTGTCCGTCAGCACAATTAGATCACAGAATTTAAATTGCACAAATATGGAAGGTTTAAATTAAGCTTTAGCAGCACTCACCTGATGAATGAGATATGTTATCTGATGCTTGCGTCGCTGTTGTCCTGTAGGCCCCTCTCCTTTTTTCTGTAAAATAAAAAAAGGTCTTGTATTACATGTTATTCTTTGCAAAATTACCAAAGACTCTTTCCCAAAGTCGGATTCTTTAAGCATTTCCAGGTGCATTTTCAAGCACCTCAAACTATTGGTAAATGAAATGACATATCTATATACAATTCAAACAATTGACTGACTGATGTACTTATTTACTATATGTAGGTCACCTTGCTGAAGGACTGGCGGGTCTGCTTCTCTTCCGTTATGTTCTTGGTCATCCACTGCTTGTTGCTGCTCAGCTGGTCGTCCCCTTTGATCTCCAGAAACTTCACCTCCTCTTTGCCCCGGTTCCGTTTCCCTTGCAGCCGCATGAACTAAAGCACAGGAAGAAGAAATGATCATATCAGTTAGACCCCGGTTTATCCTTGGCCTGATGAAGCTGCAACATCATCAATAATTAACCTACTTTTAAAGATTGGAGGTATTTAGTCAAACAATACAGAGAGAAAGAACAAAGCAAACTTCTTACCGCTTCCTCATCAAACATGGCGGAGCTGCCGGGCTCATCAGCCTCTGCTGATCCCGCCTCTGGATCTTGGACGTAAGGCTGATTATAGAATCCCTATAGAAGGAGAACATGATTTGGATATCACTTATATTCATGTATCTCTTTAACGTCTATAGTTCATTATAAGAATGCTCTGATTGACCTGGGATAATAAAGACAAGTTGGTGTCTCTGGAGCGTCAAAGTATATATATTGGTGGAAATCTGTATGGCTGTTAAAAGGGAGATTGTGTTGATGATGTTCAACCGGCTTTGTGTCGTTGCAATGTTAGTTGTTTCTGCAAATTAACAATGTTCGGCAAACTGGCAAATTAACCAACCAGAAGCTCCAGGCACCAAAAACACATAAGGAAACCAAACATTGTTTATTTGCACAGACCAACCACATTGCGACAAAACAAAGCCAGTTTTAAATCAGCAACCTTTTTCTCAAAGGTTCTTGCAGTTGTGTGAGTGTCAGATTAGCATCTATAATGTGAACCGTGTCTGAAGCACCTGACTGGACAATGTGAGAGTGCATGCATGCATCAACCATTCATTTGGTTTCAATCAGGTAAACTGAATACAATATCAAGCATTTACTAAAGGGTTTATTCTGATCTGGATTAGTTAGTGTATAAATTCTCCAGGTTATGTTATTACTAAGGTATATTTAAACAGCCAGCAGAATCTGAAACCATTTGTCTGACATGTATAATGCTGTAAAAAGCACCTCGGGAGTCCTGATTACCTGAGGGGGAGCATCTGTGCCTTCCATTTCCTGTTGATATTGAGGATATTGAGCACCCCATGGACCAGCTCCCTCACCACCCGCCCCGAAGTCGAGAGGGGCGTCTGACTGCCCCGGCTCGTCTGCAGGTGCAGGTGCAGGTGCAGGTAAAGGTGCAGGTGCAGTTGCAGGTGCAGGTGCAGGTGCAGGTGCAGGTGCAGGTGCAGGTGCAGGTGCAGGTGCCAGGGGCTCTGCGGGGGGCCCAGGCTCAGGGTCCAGGCTCGGGATGACTGCAGGGAGAGGCTGGGAGCTCTCGGCCAGAGAAAAGTAGTTCTGTGGGGATATGTCCTCCTCGTTATCTTGGTCATCGGTGGCTATTTGTCTCGCCATCTGCAGAGCCGCTGACTTTGCTGCAGCCTTGATAGCAGAGGGCGATGCGCTGGAACCGAGCAGACCCTGAGCGGGCGTTCCAGGTTTGGGTCCTTTGGGTGGTTGCCGCTTGGTGAGTGTGTGAGGAATCAGGGATCTGTCCATCGCCTTCCTGGTCATGTGTTTGGGTTGTGGCAGAAGGGAGGAAAGGCCTGAACCCTGGAAGAGGCAGGAGATATGGAGGGTATCAGGGCGGTGTAGCTACAGATATTGGCACCCACATTTCAATCGTTTGATAACATTGCAAAGTGATACAATTAAATATTCTGTCATTGGTTTACTCCATTTAGATGCATGTTCAGCCTTACTGGATACAAAGGTTCTAGCTGCTACTTTAACTCCAGTCTATTGTGTGTATGGAAGGCAGAAACAAGATTTTTTA